CGGCGGATCGCTCAAGGTCACGAGTTCAAATCCAGCCTGAGCAAGAGTGAGACCCCATCTCTACTAAAAATAGAAAGAAATTAGCTGGACAACTAAAAATATATAGAAAAAATTAGCCGGGCATGGTGGCCCATGCCTGTAGTCCCAGCGATTTGGGAGGCTGAGGCAGAAGGATTTTTTGAGCCCAAGAGTTGGAAGTTGCTGTGAGCTAGGCTGACACCATGGCACTCTAGCCCAGGCAACAAAGTGAGACTCTGTCTCAAAAAAAAAAAAAGTAAAATTTATTTTATCTGCTTAGAGGAGAGAAAGAGAGAGACAGAGAGAGAAAAGAGAGAGACACGAAGTGGCATCCCAAAGAAAGAGAAGGGAGATGGCAGCAGCGAGGCCAAATGTCTCACTGATTTTAAGGGGGACAAAGAGGGGAAAAAAGGGATTTCCGCTGATGACAAAAGTGGCAGCAGGTAGACAACAAAAACTGCAAGGATGTCAAAGTCCAAGACTTGGTTTCCTGTCTTCCTTGGAGAAAAAAAAGGGATTATCCAAGAAGATGTGATTGTCCTCGAGCTATGGTTGAGGCTTGTTCTCTTGCTGTTTACTCAGGATCTCTGTAAAAGCAGATTCTCAAAAATAAATAAATAAATAATTGTGAAAGAGAGAAATTTACATCTCATTTGTGTCCATTCAGCTTTTTCAGAAGTTGTGCAAACTAGAACTCCTGCAGGGTACCTGTTATTGAGAGAACTCATAGGATTGATCTTTAACCGTTACTGGGGAAATTGTAGGATTAGGTGTTTTCCTAAGTGGGATTATGTATTTTCCTATTATTTTTGCAAGGCTGCCCCTTTCAAGAGTAACATAACAGAGTGCAATCAAAGAAGCAGAACTTCTAGGTAGATAAGGGGTTTGATTTAATAAGATTGTGGGGACTCCTTAAGCACTCTCTGAAAGGCTGCTGTCTCCACAGGTATTATTGGAGCTCAGAGTTTGCAGGGCAGGTAGGTGTGAGGGTAGATGTGTATAATGGAAGCAGGAGCTGGAGACTATGAGGAGGGACTGAAACCTGTGTCTGGTTCTTGTTGCCTCTGACCTTGGTGAGACACAGGTGTCCTGCAGAAGCCAGACCCTTTGTCATGTGCTAGAAGGAAGATCCAAATTATATCCAGGGGAAAGTGGAGCAATTGGAAGCCCAGCATCTATGCCAACAAGATATATGACAGCATAGGTAGTGAAGGTATAAAGATAGCTGCTACTTCCTTTTGCCCTACAAATCTCACACCAGAATCCCTCTTGTGGTTAATCCTTGGGGAAACAGAAAGGAAAGGGAATTCTGGGAAATGTAGTTCAGCCTAGCCAAGCAGCCACATTGCAAAGCACCTCACTTTTTCTTGGTTCCTTTTCCTCATCTTCCTCTTTATACATCTTTATCCTTATTTTTCTAGTTCATATTGTCAGGATCTTTCTCAGAAAGTGTATGTGAAGGTGGAATTTTTTAGTTCTTGCAAGTCCATAATGTCTTTATTCTATCTTCACACTTGATTAATAGCTTGGCTGTGTAGAGTCCTCATTAGGAAAATATAAATTCCCTCAACATTTTTAAGGCATTCTTCCAATGGAACAGGACGCTGCCATTCTTAGTCTCACGTGATTTAGTCTCACTTAGACACGTGATTTCAAGTCTTCTAAAAGTCTTTTGCAACTTTTCACTGACACTGTTGTGCAAAATTTCGTCATGATGTGCCCAAGGGGTGGGTGTTTTTGGTTTTGTTTTTTAATTCATTGTGCTGAGCATTAAATAGGCCCTTTCATCATCATATCCTTTAGTTGTGGGAATTATTTGTCCATTACTTCTTTGATAATTCACTCTTCAATGTTTACTGTGTTCTCTTTGAAACTTCTATTAGGCAGATGCTTGATTTCCTGAATTACACCCGTAATTTTCTTATCTTTTCTATTTTTCAGATTCTTGCCATTTTATTCTATTTTCTGGGAGGTCTCCTTGAATATATATTCTAAACCAGTGCAGTGAATTTTTTTTCTCAGAATGTTGTATTAATTTCCTTGAGGTCTTTCTTCTTCACTAATTGTTCCTTTTGTAAAAAAATAATAATAATGGCATTCTATTTTTGTCTCTTATTCCTCTGATAATATCAATAAGTATAGTTTGGGGGGAGTTTTCTTCTGCAAATATCTCCCTTTAAAAAACAAGCAAACCTCTCTGCCCACTTCCTCCTTGTACTGACACTACCCTTACTGCTCAGCTCCTCTTGTTAGCTAGCTCCAATATCTCTCCCCTTCCATTCTCTCTTAAACTCACTCTGACCAGGTTTCACCTCATGTTCCACTGAAAATGAACTCTTAGGGTAAGTGTGTGAAATCCACCTTGCAGACAAGCTAATCTGAGATGTGAACCTTAATGGCCTCGCGATTCTATTTAGTTAATCCCCTTTAAAAAACCGCGCTTTAAAGCTGAGGTCCCCAACCCCTGGGCCGCAGACTGGCACTAATCCGTGTCACATTAAGAACTGGGCCACACAGCAGGAGCAGCGGGCAGGCCAGCGAAGCTTCATCTGTATTTGGAGCCGCTCCCAGTTGCTCGCATCCTCGCCTAAGCTCCACCTCCTGTCAGATCAGCAGCCACATTAGATTTTCATAGGACCAGGAACCCTACTGTAAACTATGCATGCCAGGGATCAAGGTGGCGCACTCCTTGTGTGAATCTAATGCCTGACGATCTGAGGTGGAGCTGAGGTGGTGATGCTAGCACGGGAGACGGGCTGCAAATATATTAATAGATTATCATTAGCAGAGAGGTTTGACTACACAATAAATATAATATGCTTGAATCATCCCAAAACAACCCCACCTCCGGCCAGTCCACGAAAAATCGTCTTCCATGAAATGGTCCCTGGTGCCAAAAAGGTTGGGGACCGCTGCCTTAAAGTATGCATCCCAGCCCTTCTGTTTCTAGACCATCTCCTCAAAATGGGGGACCCCACCTGCTCCTGTTGCATCATTCTTTTCTCATACTTTCAGCCAATTATGTCAGGTCTCATTCTCCTTTTATATAATAGCTTCATAATTCTCATAATATATAATAGCGAAGGCACAATTTTGACCTCCCTTGATGACGGTTTTTCCACCATATTCTGACAATACATCTGTGGCCTAAAGGAATAATATCGCACTCCTAGCAAGTTCAGTTTTTTGGCATGCCTCCACAGAATATTGACCCTAGATTCCATTTTTATTGCCTGATTAGATTTTTCCGGGTTTCTCCTGAGGCAGTGATCCCAGCCAAGTCCCTGATAGACAACAGAGTCTATCTTAAAGAATGAAAAGTGCAGATTCTGAGCTGGATGCCTTTGAATCCTGGCTCTGCCTGACCTTGGGCAAGTCACTTCAACCTCTGTGCCTCAGTTTCCTTATTTGTGAATTGGAGACCATTAACAGCACCTACTCATAGGGCTGTTGTAGCTGAATGAGCTTATATAATTACCGTGTCCAGCACTAATAAGTATGCCACATGTGTAAGCGACTGTCATTATTATTGTCCCTTCTCTGAGGAGGTGAGCACAGGGCTTATTTCTTGCTTGAATGTGTAGAAAGCAAAAGGGATATAAGGAGGAAAAATAGGTTTGTATTTCAAAATATCTCATTGTGCTACAGAGGTAATTATAAAATTAGTCAAATAATATCATATTTTTGCTTTTGAAATGGAATGTTAGCAGCTTGAATTCTCTACACTCATGAGTGTGTAATTTCCACTTCTGTGTGTGTAAAGCATTTCAGAAGAATTAGCTTTTTTTTTTCCTGTAAGTCATCAAGATTACCTTTTTCTCAATAAGCTTCAAAATTTCTGAGTGAAAGACAGGAAAATGTGTTAAAGACCAAACACCAGCAATGTTTGAGTCCAGTGAACAACGAGGAATAGGAAGAAAAGACAACTTTGACATTTTACTGGAATCTGAGTTAATAAATGGGACTGCAGAGCAAATAGCAAACAACTGCTTGAGTTACATCAGCATGAATAAAGAAATAATGAACCCCATTTCCAGTCCGAAACTATTACACAATATGATTAATGGAGCTAACAAGTTGCCGATTACACATTAGAAAATCTTCTAGAGGATTTTATAACAAAAGGAACAACTTGTTCAGAGTATAATCGATGCTTACAGATAAATTTCACAACTTTGCACCTCAGGGAATATGTTTGCTTTTCTCAAAGATCAAGTAAACCGATCATTTCATCTTGGCAATTATTAGCCTGCCTCATGTTTTATAACTAAGAAAAATTTGGCTTCTCTCCATATTTTAGTTGAAATGACTTTTATTTTTTAGGAGACAGAGTCTCACTCTGTTGCCCAGGCTGGAGTACAGTGGCACGATCACAGCTCACTCTAAACTCGAATTCCTGGGCTCATGCAGTCCTCCTGCCTCAGCCTCCTGAGTAGCTGGGACTACAGGCATGTGCCACCACACCTGGCTAATTTTTTATTTTTTTTATAGAGATGGAGTCTCACTGTGTTGCCCAGGCTGGTCTCAAACTTCTGGCCTCAAGTAGTCCTCCTGCCTCAGCCTCCCAAAGTGCTGGGATTACAAGCTTGAGCCACCTTTTCTGGCCCGAAATGACATTTTAGTTCATATCTTCATAGATAAAATTTTATTACCTTTAGTACCTACAAAGCAAAGTTTGGTTTTACCTAATCTTCAGTTGAGCATTTCTGAAGTTATAGTACAAAAATTGTCTGGATTAAAACAACAATAAGAGGTTAAAAATATATATCTTTATAAAAATATATTATTGGATCTTTCATAAAAAGTCACACAAATGGAGGGGGGGAAGAGAAAATATCAGAGTAATGGGATTTGTCCTTGAATCTCCTTTTTTTTTTCCTTCCAGTTAAACCAATTTCCTCATGTTTGTTGTTTCTGGATTCAAGCCAGAATCAACATTGTCTCTATTTCTAATCAAATAATGGAGAAACAATTACGAATTCTGAAAGCAGTTAGAGGATCCTGGGAAGCTGAGTGTCTGGATGGAGCCTAAGCTGGGTCTCTGACTCATTTCTGACTTTAGGCAAGTTATTTAATGTCTCTGCACTTCTGACATGATCATAATAATGTTAATTTATTTCATAGGTATGGTACTAACCATAACTCAGGAAACAACTGTGAGCTCTTGGGAAAGGTAAGGTTGATCAGCGAGAAGGCTGCTTCTGCAACTTGGAAAAGATATTTAAAATTATCTCTTTTCTACTTCCTTCACATCTTGAATGAATTGGATGGAAATTTGATGTAAATGGTAGGATTTGCAGTTTTGCTATGCAAAATGGAAAATAAAATGGACCATATTATAATTTTTGATTCAGAAGTAAAAACTTCAGAAATATTTTTCTTTATTTCATTTATTTGGGTATCAAACATAGTTGGCTTTTAAAGGCTTTCATTGAATATGGATTCTTGAAGAAAAAATACAAAGACATGGTTATATTCCATTTTCAGAGAAAGGAAAAACATTAGAAGAAAATAGCTTAAAAGGAGTCTCTAAGCCTGTGTTTATGGGTAAATTTTTAACTAACTGTCTTACATTAAGGTTATAGTCCATTTGTGAATGCTAACTTATTAAACATGCTTCCTTCAAAAACGTTTTCCTTCTTTTTAATTTATTTTATCACCTATCCTTTCATAATGGCTTGCCTACACCATACCATTTTTAAAATTTTTATGTGCTATTAATGTACCTTTGTTTTGTAATTGTTTTAAAAGTGATATATCACATGTAGAAATTTTCATTTCCAAATTTTTAATATTTTTGTCCTTAGATGTAATGCAGTGTAATTAATTAAATAATTCTTTAAAATTTAGTGAGAAATGAATTAGAATTTGTAGCCTTAAAATAATTTATATGAAATAATACAGTGTATAAATAGGTATTTGAAAACAATTTTAATTTTATAATAATTAAAAGTTTTGAAACAGCCTAAAGCAAAAATATTACCAAAAAAAAAAAATACAACTAGTTGTGTAGCAATGAACAGAATAATTTGATACAACTTTACCACAAGCCAGATTTGTAGAATAAATAATGGTTTACTATAATGAGTGACGGAGACCAGATTTTCAAAGCAAGTTTCTTTTATTTATTTACTTAGAGACAGAGTCTGGCTCTGTTGCCCTAGATAGAGTGCAGTGGCATCATCACAGCTCACAGCAACCTTAAACTCCTGGGATCCAGCAATCCCCCTGCTTCAGCCTCTTTCCCTAGTAGCTGGGACTACAGGCCCGCGCCTCCACATCCCGCTAATTTTTCTATTTTTATAGAGACCAGTCTGAGACCGGTCTCACTCTTGCTCAGGCTGGTCTCGAACTCCTGAGCGCAAGGGATCCTACCGCCTCTGCCTCCAAGAGCGCTAGGATTACAGACCTGAGCCACCACACCCAGCCTGCGTTTATATTCTTTACTCCTTTTCTAGTGAGGCTCTGTGAGAAAGAAATAAGAAATTCAAGTGTTCAATCCAACCCAAAGTCCCTAACTCCTTCTTAACACTTATTTTCAAAAATATGCTTAGCTCATTGTTTTCCAACAGAAGAGGAAAGCATATCAGTATTATCAGAGTTCAGTTTTAAGGCAAGGCAATCATATTTTCCCTCCTGAAAAAAATTTTGGCTCCTTCTCAGAGGGGAAATAATTTCTGCAGAAACATCAACTAAAATTTTATTGGGGTTACCACAATGAGTTAAATGCTAGGGAAACAATAATATGAATAGCAAGGTGTGGCTCACCTTGCTCAATTGTTGGATGTTTCACACATCGGTTTTATGGTCTTAGAAAAGTGACTTAATGGCTCTAATCTATTCATCTGGATGGTGGGGATAATAGTACTTGCCTTATTATTTGAGAGTTATTTGAGGATTAAGTAAGATGATGCTTGAAAATGCATAGCATAGGCCTAGGTAGGTTGTAAAAAAAAAAAAAAAAAGTCATCCAGAAGTAAAAAATGTGTGAAGTAAAGGTATACAGTCATATCTGATAGACTGCTCATTACTCTCTTTAATGCTCACATTTCACATACTTTAAATGTTCACATTGTATTTCACAATGCTCCAAGTTGTAAATCACCCTTTGTGCTGTTTGTCGCTGAATTCAATGCCCCTCCCATTCTGTAACTGTTTTTATTGGCTCCAGGAGAACTGAGAACTACCTACTTTGTTGGCATAGGTTTTTGTTTAAATTGTCTAGTAAGTGCTTAACTCATTGGTTTCCAAACTTGGCTGAACATTAGAATCAAGTGGGATTCTTTGAAAAATTTGAAGGCCTGACTGCTACTTTTAGACATTTGATTTAATGGAGATTTTTTTTGGGTATGGAGATTTTTTTAAAGCTCCCCAAATGATCCCAATGGACAGCAAAATTTAGGAACTACTTCTTTAATTACATAAAAGTTGAGAAAGTGATACTTGAAAAGGATGACAGGTCATGGGTTCTATTAAGTTGATTTAATAATTCAGTTGGTTTCAGTTCTTTTTTAGCAGAAACCATAGGTATAAAATTTGTTTGAAGACTATGCAGAGAGTTTCTCTTTCTAGGCTCCTTAGCTTCTAAAATTTATGAAAACTCACCGGTTTGGCAGCACACAGAAAGTATTATGAGCAAAATTTTTCATCCCAACTCGTGACTTCAAGGTTGACTAGAAAAATTATCTCAAGAAGCAATGAAGTTAATTTTCCTCCACAACTTCAGCAGCACTTAAAGTTTTGTTATCTTGATAGCTCGCGATATTGAGAAAAACAATGCATATTCCCTCCTATTTGTTATAACTTTCTTTTTTTTCCCTTCTTTTAAAAACAAAAGCAGTCTTCCAATATACAAAATGAGTTACTATTGAGTTTACACTTATCATATGCCAGGCTATCTAAAAACATTATCTCAAAATGTCCACAGTCCTGTAAGGCAGGAAATATTATTTTCCTTTTACAGATAAGGAGCTTTTTAGTAAGTGGCCTAGTATCACACAACTTTTTTTTTTTTTTTTTTTAAAGGACAGTCTATCTTTAATCAAGTTCCAGGATGGGGTTACACAGCTTCGAAAAGCATGGTTAAGGAAGATGTGAGGGTGTGTGTAAAGCAAAGTTTCTAGAAAATACCAGAGGGACCAAACATAACCCTGACCTGGCCTTCTGCTTAGCCTCGATGTTGCTGGGTACCCAGGGCTAGGAGGCTACTTCATCCAGCTGACTTTGGGGATGTCGTAATGCTCCGTGAGAGTGTCCAGGTGTCTGTTGAAGTCCTCTACTCTCTGCTTGTGGGTTTTGGATGCTTTCTTCAGGATTCTTTCCATTTGCCGCTTCTCCTGCATCTTCTCGAAGGCCACCTGGGCCAGGGTCCGCTTGTCCAGACCTCGCCGCTTCTCCTCCTCGTTCTTCTTGCTCGTCCCCATCGCTTCCAGGAGTTTCACCTTATCTTTGTCCTTCTTTTTCTTCTTCTGCTTGTGTGATACTAGGCCACTTCCAGGCTATCTAAAAATATTATCTCAAAATGTCCACAGTCCTGTAAGGCAGGAAATATTATTTTCCTTTTACAGATAAGGAGCTTTTTAGTAAGTGGCCTAGTATCACACAACTAGGAAGGGGCTAAGTCAAAATATGGACTCAGGTCTTTCTGCCTTTTCTGTTTTTTTGTTTTTTTTTGAGACAGAGTCATGCTCTTTTGCCATGGCATCAGCCTAGCTCACAGCAACCTCAGACTCCTGGGCTCAAGCAATCCTTTTGCCTCAGCCTCCCGAGTAGCTGGGACTACAGGCATGTGCCATCATGCCCAGCTAATTTTTTCTATATATTTTTAGTTGTCTGGCTAATTTCTTTCTATTTTTTAGTAGAGACTGCTCAGGCTGGTCTCGAACTCCTGATCTCCAGCATTCTTCCTGTCTCGGCCTCCCAGAGTGGTAGGATTACAGGCATGAGCCACCACCCCCCGGCCAAGCCTGTGCCTTTTCCATACCATCGAACAAGCAGCACATTAGGACCACTAAAAGAGTTCTTCCTCTGTTTTTTTTAACTGTTCAGGTTCAATTTTATTTAAGTTAACACTGAGCATCATTCTGTGTGGCAAAAGGCTGGGAAGGTCTGGGAGAATTTCCTCAGCAACTCTCACACTATAGATGTCCTGGAGCTGCCTAGGTCTGAACCCAACTCTGGTCTCTTGGAAAGTTCAAAGTGGATAAACTAATGAAATTCTTTTTGTTCTTGCAGTTCTTTCAATGGGGAAAATGATGAAGATGATCAGTTTCATCCTTGTTGCCACTGCCGTGGTGATGACCAGGGAAAGTTGGGTACGCTTATTGTGAAAACTATTATTGTATTTATAATGCCTGCTCTGACTTGAATTTTCTTTTGTTTTTCAGAAAACCTTTAGTAACTTACCACTAAACAAACTTAATTGAGTGTGGAAAAGGAAAAAGTCTGGTAGCAGTGCCTAGCAATAATAGTACTTACCAAGTACTTAAAAAAAAAATTTGTTTAAGTAAAAATCAGTATCCACAACAAATAAGCAAAATCTTTTTTTAATTCACTGGAGTCATTTAGCCAGTTATGTGATATTAGAAATTTAAAACTGTCCATTGTATTAAAATTATCTTTGGGCTTTCTAATATTGAACACTATTAGTGTAAACTAACCAGATTATCTGGAAGTAATTATAATGAACTCAGGCCTTTCTCCATTCATGAGTAAAAAGGACAAGATACTCATTGACTCAAGTTCTGGGAGAAAGAAAACTCCTAAGTTTTAAATAAGCTTATTAAGACTTTATATGCAGTCTCATAAAGATTGGACATAGTTGGCCTGTGAAGCCTTCAGTTATTTTTAAATTACATAGTGCATTATATGTCATAGTATCACAACCAATTTCCCACTGTTGTAAGGCAACACAGGATGCAGACACCACACAATGTTCTTGCTGTTCATTCTTTGGCTCCTACGACTCAAAGGGCTAAGCAAACAGCTCTCTGAGACAGGATAAATCAGAGTGATTAAGAAGAGAGAGTACCAAGAGCAAATAACAAATAATCTTAGACAAATAGCTGGAAGAGGTTCAGGGTCTTGGACCTAGAGATGGGAGGAAGGGGCCTCTGCCACCACTTTTCCATTGTTATATGACTTCCAGTCATATATTTTGCTGTATGAATGAGTTTTGAGGCTGAATTTCTATCCTCCTGAAATTTGTAGTCTGAATTTTAATCCTTTATAGGAAGGCAGTGTAGCTCTTCCCTTTGCCCAAGATGCAATACTTAATTATGCTGCCTGGCTGCCTAGCAGAGTCCCTGGAACACAGTAGGTCCTCATATTGATGGAATGAATACAAGGTAGTATAGCAAGATAGGAACAGGAAGCCATGCAAATGTAAATTAGAAAATATATCTGACTATAATTGAATGACTTTTAGGAAATAATCTGTATAAAGGTGATATAAGGCAATTGCATATTAAAATTCATAGTTTCCCAGAAATAAACATTTATACTTCACAGGAGATCATGACATGACTTGAAAATAGAGATGTCAAAGTCAAAATGGGAAAATGGGAAAAATTGGTCTTGAGTCCCCTTTTCACTACCCTGATGGCTCTCCTGAAATTGCAGCTCCTTGGCCTCAGTAACTAACTCTTCCCAGGAGACCCACCTCTGCAACTCTCCTTTCTGATTCCCCCACCAAATTTACTTTATCTTTAGAGAGCTCTGCTCAGAGGATTGGCACTTTGGAGAGCAGCTGGTAAATTCTTTCACATGCAACATTCTGGGGTGATTTGCATTTTCAAAAAAGATAAATGACTTCAGGCTCCTCCCACCCCATTTTAAGGGAAAAATAACAAAGAAACAAAAGTGAAAGTAACTCCAGTAGAATTTCTAGCAACAGGTAAATAAATGAGTGTGATACTCAGGGATAAGAGACCTAAACTAGCATCCCTTTTAAAGGTGCCAAATGTCATCAGATTATATGCATTAAATTATACTTTTAAAACATACTTACACCAAAAGGTCATTGAAAAACTTCATTTATCTTGGGGATTGACATACTAATAACACAATTCGCTTCTGTAAAGCACTTTACGGTTTAGAAAACACATAGGTGGTATCATGTAGAGATTGAGAGCATGATCCTTGAACTGGATTTAAATCCTGACTCTCCTTACCCACTGAGTATTCATGAGGAGTCTTGTCATCGGGGTTGACCCCATTCCTACCTTATAGAATTATTATAAGGATCAAATGAGACAACTGTACAGCTATTTTAGCCTAGTGATTCTGATCATTTTATATTATTTCCTTTCTTGAGTTCAGGAGCTTTAGCATAAACTATAACTTCTTCTTCAAATAGCAAATCATATGAGAACTTTCCAACGACTTTCTGGTTGAAATAATATTCTAAAACGGGAGATCAAACGGAATCATGGACATATCTAAATTTTTAGCAGCATTTGTTTTCCATGAAAATGAAATGCACATCACTTTGCAGGCTTTTGAGAACTGCGCCCGGGAGCAGGCGCGGCTCAGAGCCCAGGTGCACCTGCTTGAGACCCGGGTCAAACAGCAACAGGTCAAGATCGCACAGCTTTTGTATGAGAACGAAGTCCAGCTCCTTGATGATGGAACCTACAATAATGTCCTTGATCTTGGAGGCAAGAGGCAGTATGCAGGTCAGAATTTATTTTTCTTAAGTGTTCCAATAACTTACATCATACACCCATGTGCAGTCATGGTGCTAGGAATTTATTCACTTCAGGTTTTGCTAAAGTGCTTTTCCTATTCCAGTAACAAGCATGAAATATTGTATCAATTTTAAATGTCTTCTACCATACCATATTTTACTCTTTTCTCTCTGTTATCTCTTCAGGAGACATTTAATGTGAATGCTAAAAATCTGAGAATTTCTACAGTTTAATAAGAAATCAGGACAATGGGACCGGGCATGGGCAAGGCACGGTGCTCATGCCTGTAATCCTAGCACTCTGGTAGGCCCAGGCGGGCAGATCGCTCAAGGTCAGGAGTTCGAAATCAGCCTGAGCAAGAGTGAGACCCCATCTCTACTAAAAATAGAAAGAAAATAATTGGCCAACTAAATATATAGAAAAAAAATTAGCCAGGTGTGGTGGTGCATGCCTGTAGTCCCAGCTACTCAGGAGTCTAAGGCAGGAGGATCGCTTGAGCCCTGGAGTTTGAGGTTGCTGTGAGCTAGGCTGATGCCACAATACTCTAGCCCAGGCAACAGAGTGAGAGACTGTCTCAAAAAAAAAAAAAAAAAGAAAAAAAGAAAAAAGAAAAGAAATCAGGACAATGAATTGTTTAAATAACAGTGTACAAATGGCAAATTATAATTGTGAATTTTTACACTTGAGCTTTGTGTTTATTTGTGTCTTTCCTTGTTGCATTTATGCAGCTTTCCCTTCTGAAACCCTAACGTGCCATAGGGTTGCAAGTAAGGTAAGAGAACAAACGGGCAGAAAGGGACAAAGAACCAGAATTATGAAAGAAAATAAAAGAGTAGTTTTTATATGTGTATTTTATGGTTTAGTTGTTTTCCTTTTGATTAGGCCAGTACATCTCCCCAGACACTAAATGATCTTAAACTGTCAACTCATTATACACATCACTGCACATATCATTATTCTCTATGGAAAACTGTTCATTTGAAAAAACAGAAAAACAACAACTGCTCATTTGACTTCCTCCGGAAGTAAAAGGCATCTTTTAGAGTAAGCAAACAATGACTGTCACAAAGATAATGCTATCTAGAACACTTTGTTCGTATGTTTACTTTAGCACTACCAACCATGATACATTATAATTTCCATTTATGAGTCTATCTTGGTCAATTAACTGGGCACTTTGTAAGGCCTGGGATGATATTTAATGCATTTTTACCTTCTTATCAGAAGTGCCTGGGACATAATAGGTCAGAATAGATTCATAATAGATATTTATGAATGAAAGCAAGGTATTACATAAAGAGAGGAATAGCAAGTTAAGCAAATATAAATTGGGAAATATATCTAACTATAATCGAAAGACTATAGAGTCCAAAGCTTATGGGAATAAAAACATCTTTATTTTGTGTTTCTAGATATCTATTCATTGGTATAGGATATAAGAGCCTATGCTTCAGTAAAATGCTCCTTTTTCTCTCTTTACCAAGATCCTAATCTATTTCTGCTCAGACTCCTTGCCCTGGACGCCTGACCCTCTGTTGGCCATCATGCTTATCCTTTAACCTTGATCCTTGGAGTCCACTGCCCTCCCCCACGCCCTTAGGGACCAGAAGGAGGCCAGAGCCACTGGCCTGCGGTCGTGGGGATGAGTATAGGTTGAGGATGGCCTGTGCTCCCAGAGCATGGAACAAAGAGGGACCAGGGACCACTCACATAAAAGCAGGCTAGGGAAACAAAGGGCTGTCCTTCAAGGGATGAGCTTACAGATCTGTGGTTGCAAAAGTAGGTCCAAAACTGATCTCAAGGTCAAGGAACCTGATGAATGCAAGTGAAACGCCATTATTCCAAATTGCAAATCAAGCTCAAGACTGAGAGTATGTGTTTAAACATGGTCTGAGCAGGTTGTCAACACGGTTCAACAGTCAAGAATGGCAGGAGGCTGGCAGGTAGACATTTGTTACTGGTACTCTGCAACCAGTCATGGGAAGACTGAGGCTTAAGAGCTAAAAATCGAGTGCTTGTGTTTAGGGAGCAGACCCTGGGGAACAAGAGGTCACCAAGGAGCAAGGCAAGAAATCAGTTACTAGGAACTTAAAGTGCCAAGGTCAGAGCAGGAGTTAGATAGAAGGGTCAAATGAAGAAAACCCAGACAAACCATTATATGATGTGTTATAATAATACAACAGACGATAGCATTCTAGATGACTGTTTCTGGGTATAACAGCTAAAAAAAAAATCCAGAAGTCAGTAGATTTGCACTTAATGTTCTTCATATATGATGCCTATGCTGCCTATGCAAGCGTGAAAGAGAAGAAGGGGGAATAAATTGTAAAATATAAATACAATTCAATTGTACTCTGTCAGCATACAAATAGTACTAGAGAGCCTACCAAGGACACTCAATAAATAAAATATATAACAAAAAGCCCAATAAAAATATATCATAGCATAACATGTATATTACATAATACTATATAAAATACATAAGAACTTGCTCACATCCAAGTTTGTGTTTTCGGTGTCCTTAAATTAAAAAAACATTAAAATTCATATATATATAATCTGTAGAAATAGAATTTTCTTGTTCTTATTTACAAATTACTGTATTATTACTCAATTAGTTATTTTCTGAATTCTAATTTGTCTTATGGTAGGAAACACCTAATTACATACAACCTAGCAATTTGTGCAAACAATGCACAAATCACATGGTTTTATACAGCATATAATTAAGCTGTATCTTTTTTTTAAGCATTTGGGTGCTATAGAATTATGAATTAAGAGATTCCTGTATCAAATTCACGTTAACCGGTGACCATCACAACAAGCTGGCATCACTACATCTGTTTGGTGGACAAGACCACTGGCTGCACCATGTCCCCTTCTGCAGGAGCCCTCAATCTTTGAGTCTCTTGGGAAAGTATACAAAGGTGACAAGGTGTTGACTCTAAAGCCTGGTATCAAAGTCCAGCTGCCCATCTTGCTAGCTCTAGTGGCCTTCAGGAAAATTACTTAACCTCTATGTGCCTCATCTGTAAAATGGGAATGATAAGAATATCTGTGTATTTGTCGTAAGGATTAAATGAGTTCATATATTTAACATAGCAGTTAGTGCCAAAGAAGTACTCAGTGAATGTTAGTTATCTATGGACATTATTATGTCCTCCCTCCCTTGTTTTCAGAAGAGAGAGCCCACTCACTCCATCCGACAAGAATACGTGCTTTCCAAAGAGCCAGTATCCTTTATTCTTCTCTTACTTTGCTTCTTATGTTGCCTGGGGGTGAGGACGGTGGTGGCCGGGCCAGTTCTGGAATGTCCCAACATGCTCTGCAGAGTGGCGGCAGCTGACCTCCGTTGCCCTCAGTTGTTTTTTTGGTTTTTTTGTTTGTTTATTTTTTGCATTTAGAAGTGGGGTACTTTGGTACTCAGCTTTGAGCCTCGACCGCCATTCTGAGACATTTAGCAGGCTGTCATGTCACTTTTTGAGCTTAAACATTCAGCCTTCCCACAAGATTTGCTTCCTGCATGATCAGAGAAACTGTGCACATCTCCCAGTTTAATGCCCTGTTTGTCAAAACAGAAGGCAGGAAGCCCTGGGCTCACTCTAGTATTATGTAAGTATCCAAAAATCCCATTGCTTTTTCTTTTTTTTTTTAACTTCCATGAACACAGAGCTCTTTGACCCTGCCTTTCCCCTACCTATTCTCCAGGGGGTTGAGCAGGTCAAAACAATTTGAAAATCGTAGTTTTAAATATCTAGTTAATATTTTAAACTCTACATTGCCTGAACTTTCTACTGTTACAGTTTAAGCCACATTTCCCAAAGCAGGCTCCTTAATTTGTTTGCTATAAGCAGCTGAACTACTAGTACTTTGTGCTTTTTTAATATTTACTTATTTGTTGAGATTTTTGTTCTCGTTGCTGTTTTATCAGTTGAAAGTTTTCTCTAAATCTTAACTTGTGTTTTTCTTCTGGGGAGAAGGAAAATGGAAACAAACAAACAAACAAACAGCAAACTCACAGTTGGCGTAAAATGAAAACAAATAGAAAATGTTGGCTGAAACTCCTGTATTCACTAAGTTTTCCAGAGGCCAATGTTATAGCTAATCGTTTCCATATTTGCCTGGAAAACAGTCTGAACCCTGTGAGATTTTACTATTCAGCTCTTTGGTAGGAGATTAAATGTAAACAAAGAGCTCCTTTCCTAAGGGGGTGAAAGTCTGCAGACTTTAATGAAAGTGTTGTCCAATACCCTTGACCACAAGAGGTAAGCTTGTTAACAGCATTGAGCTACTTTTAGGGAATCATTTTCCCATTGCTTTTCTTCTTGTTTAATTGCCAAAACAGGATCCTTTTTATAATTCAGCCTGTGTAAGGAACACTTATGCTTCTGAATCTCAAACATAAATTTATGAATAAAGCCTAAATCACAAAGATAAACCTCTCACCAAAGCAGTGGTATGTGATTGGTCTCAAACTTTTGAGGACTTTATAAAATGACTAAGGTTCTTTATTTTCTTTTCTCTTCTGATTTCTAAGGCCTATTCAACCTATTTAATGTGCAGTATATTTATCTGTAAGAAAACAAATGAGAGTTGCAGACAATTTGGCATCAAAACAATGAAAAGTAAGAAAGAATTTAAAGAATGGAATTAAGCTAAAAGAATGGAATTATCCAATCAGGAAGAGAAAGCTTTTTTTAAAAAAGGAAATTAATAAAGTGATAAGGGTAAAATATAAAAGTTGGCAATGTTCGATCACAGTATTTTTATTCAAATGTTTGTAGCTGCATCTTCTTGAGGCTATCTCTTTATAGTGGTCACTATTTCAATCATCCTAAAACATAGCTTCCTAGGCATCTAGACAGTAGAGAAGTCCATACTTGTTATATTCTCTAAGTCTGTGCAGATAAGCCTAGGAAGACCCAATGGATATTAATTTATCCCACCCTCAAGTGGCTTACCAAACCAATGCTACTTTTTGGTGACAAATTGGTAGCTATGTTTGCTTCAGTGGTCAAAGAAATACCACAGCAAAGAAAAAAAATAAGGAATAAAAGGAACAGTAGAAGCTTGTAGTTTTTTAGCAAAAATATCCAAGAATGTGTGGACTGTTAGAAATTTCAGTGGGTTAGTAAAAAATCCAGTGAGACTGGGTGGCATAAGAATCTGATAAGATTACTATTTCGGGTTCATTTCCAGATGTTCAGAATCATGCTCTAAGTCAAGATAACCTCTATTAAATTATTTGTTTGATGCTATATTTTGATTTTCATTCTTAGCTTTATAGAAGAGAGAAATTCTACTCTTCTGCCTGATTAACCTATAATTTCCACTTAAATATACTCTAACTGAACACATATAATTTGTTTTTTTTAATGGTTTTCCACAAAAATCAGAAGTGAGAAACAAGATCCGTATTTCATTCCTTTTTTTCTGTGTTCCTATCAAGGAGTCACGTGACACATGCTAGCGAAGGAAATAAGACTTTCCTAATACCCACTGGAAGATTCGGTTTTAAAAAGCTGATTATCTGCATAATGTGTTTACCTGTCTCTATTAGTCTTGAGTAATCTCATTCAGAGGTTCCCCTGAGAAAACAAAAAGACATCTAATAAATGTTACATTATCTACCTTTTGTTACAAACAGATTGTTCAGAGATTTTCAATGATGGCTATAAAAACAGTGGATTTTACAAAATCAAACCTCTCCTGAGCCCAGCAGAAATCTTTGTTTATTGTGACATGTCTGATGGAGGTGGATGGACTGTAATTCAGAGACGATCTGATGGCAGCGAGAACTTTAACAGGTGTGCTAATTATGACATGTGAATTTGTGTGGAGTAGCAAACGTGAGATTTATAAGTTAAATCATTTTTTTATTTTATTATTTATTATTTTATTTTTATTGTATTTTATTTTATTTCAGAGTATTATGGGGAAGTTAAATCTTTTGATCATGTCTTGAAGTCTATGAATTAGAGTTTCACTCTCCCTAAATAAAAATACTGAAAGTGAATTAACTAATCAAGAAAATATTGGTGGTGAAGGTAGCCATAGGTGGTTGCTCACCTTGGGTACTGCAGATAGATTTTGCTAAAATCAGCTTACACTTTCAATTTTTTAGAGCCTGGAATGACTATGAAAATGGCTTTGGAAATTTTGTCCAAAAAAATGGTGAATATTGGCTGGGTAACAAAAATCTTCACTTATTGACCACACAAGGTAAGGTTTGCCTGGCATCAAATTTATTTGAAATACAAAGAAAACAATACCAAAATGTTTTCTGTTCAATTATAGGCAATAGAATTAATTCAATAACTGCTATGATTTACAGAGGGCAATGAAACTTTTGGGCAATAATCCCCTTTGTAAAATGAGGCTGCTTAAGATTAGAAATAGGGGAAAAGAAACTAGAGTTGGCTTAGGGGGTAATTGTTTTCTCATATTTATTTTCTATTTCTGGAAAGGAAATGTAATATCATAATCTTTTTTTTTTTTTTTTCTTTTTTTTGAGGTAGGGCTCACTCTTTGCCCAGGCTAAAGTGCTGCAGTGTCATCATAACTCACTGCAACCTCAAACTCCTGGGCTCAAGGGATCCTCCTGCCTCAGCCTCCTGAGTAGCTGGGACTATAGGCACATGCTACCATGCCCAACTAATTTTTTTTTTTTTTTTTTTTTTTTTTTTTGTGGAGATAGGGTCTTGCTCTTGCTCAGGCTGGTCTTGAACTCCTGACCTCAAGCGATCCTCCTGCCTCATCTCCCAGAGTGCTAGGATTACAGGCGTGGCTCAGCCCATAATCATTCTCTTTTAATGCTTTGTGTGCCTGAAGATTATATACACTGCTGTGATTATCTATTGCCACAATAATATTGTGTAACAAGCCCCTTTAAAACTTAGTGGCTTAAAAACAACCACCATTTATAGTTTCTCACAAATCTGCAAGGGTGATTTTGCAGCTCAGGGCTGGGCTTGCTCACGGTCTGCAATCAACTTCCTGGTTGAAGTTTCTGCTCTAGGTTGGCCTCAGCTGAAGGATTCAGCTCTGCTCCAGATGATGTCTCATTGTCCGGTTAGCTGGCCTGGCCTTGTTCTTGTAGCAGAGGCAGAATTCCAAAAAAGACATTAGATGGGCATAAATCTCTTGCAACCTAAGCTCAAAACTGGCACAATGTTCACTTCCTTGTATTGGGGAAAGCACGTCATGGTACCAGCTCAGATTTAAGAGGAAAGGAAATAAGTGATAGGAGGAATTATGAAGTCATACTGCAAAGGGGAGAGGTGAAGAATTGGGGAATCGGGGCTGTTTTTTGCAATCAAATACTATAATATACTAAGTGTTCTCATTTCCATACTTGCCCCCATCTTTTATTTTGAAGTGTTTTCCAAGATACAACAAATTTCAAAGAAATTTTAACCTACTGCCTCAGTTCTACATTAGCATTTTACTCTGCTCGTTTAATCCCATATCTAGCTACTCATTTCTCCACTCATCCATCCATCTATCTTTTTCACATATATTTCAGAGTAAATTGCAGACATCTACACAATTCCTATCTTTAACTAGAGTTCAATATCTGTCTAAAATATCATTAGTTTGATAACAAGTTTCCCAAGCCTCTATTTCCTGTCTGTATTCTTCCTTCTCTCAGTTGTAGTCTGAGATTGTAGTTAGTCCCACTCGAGTCTGATCCTGAATATTTCATAAAAGGCAATTGTATTGCCCCAGAAAACATGCTAAATTACACTGGCAATGCATTAAATATAAGAGCAAGACATTATTTGTTCCGTCCAAGTTCAGGAAAGTTGCTGGTGTTTCTCTATTCGTAATAGTAGGATTATAATTATGAGACGCTAGAATGATAGCTAGAGAGGAGGTATAATCCTACAAGCCTAATATTTTCTTTGTTTGCCCTTCTCGTGATCAGTGTTCTCTAAATTTTTATAAATCTTCCATCTATTTATTATCTGAACTTTAAGTGTTTTATGCCAGATTTATAACATTTACCATACCAGCTTTTGTTTTGTTTGCACATTTAATATTTATCTGCTTTTTTATTAAAACCCCAAAGCAGTAACCCTTGGCTCCTTCTAAATATACAAAACTCAAACTTATTACTTTTCAAGTTATTATTATGTCCACATTCACCCAGATGGACTTTGCCAACAAATATGCTTCCTGTTCATGTTTTGATTTGGAATTCAGGCTGGCTACTCTCGTTGCAGCAAAAATGTACTTTTCAGTTCTAGAACTAACAACTATGTACCACATCATCCCCAGCTAAAGGCCGTGCATTTGTCTCTATATCCTTTAAATATGAGAGCACTTAAGGCTAGCACCTTGCCTCTGAAAGTAGCTTTATCCCCATTACAGAAACTTTGACTGGAAATGTTTGTAATAAAATTAATTGGGAAATGGACTGTAACTGCAATTTTGTTTACTTATTGATCAAAGAGATATTTAGATGGTTACCTAAGAAAACTGAGACTGACTTTGTATCTCTCCTATAAGACAAATTTATTTTTTAGCACAGTTGACTTAGCCTGCTTAATTGCTCCTCTTTACATCATGATCTTGAGTCACATGACCTTTACTATCTTTAGAGATCTCAGTGTGGCGAAAAGTCCATAGTACCGAAGCAACAAGCCCAACAGGAGCCTGCAGCCCCTCCTAAGCTTGAGGAATCCAGAATTCCCTGCCCAAACAGCTGTGAGCTTGTTTCTAAGACCCCTTCCGGCCTCTTCCTTGTCTGTCCTTTTGTGCAGCTGGTGTGCCCACACCTAACGCTTGCGAGGAGGCTAAAGAACAGCTTTTACTTTGGGTATGAGCAGAGCTTGGATATGCAGCCTGGAATGTCCACAAGCGTGTCCAAGGTCCCTTGCATGATGAAGATAGAGATGGGGAGAGAAGGAAGGTGGACCATAGAGTCAGCCTGGGAGGTAGAACACAAGGGTTCTCTCTCCCTGGGTCTCCATGTTCTGCCTTGGAACTCCAAGGATGCTGAGACTCTAAATTCCAACCTGGCCTTGTTACAGGTCATTGTGATGTTTTATTTATCAAAGTAGGAGGGTAGAGCATATATGATCTAATAATCAATTTATTTCATAATTTTCTATACTCTTGAAAATAGTTCTGTTTCTGAAAAAGGAATAGTCTTCGTTATTTGCAAACAATGGGACAATTGGGAAAAAAATGACTACTTGAAGATTGCAATTATTTCAGTCTTTTTTAAAGATAATGTTCTTTTATCACCTAGAATTTTTATAGTCATTAAAGCACTTTTTTTTTTTTTTTTTTTGGAGACAGAGTCTCGCTTTGTTGCCCAGGCTAGAGTGAGTGCCGTGGCGTCAGCCTAGCTCACAGCAACCTCAAACTCCTGGGCTCCAGTGATCCTTCTGCCTCAGCCTCCCGGGTAGCTGGGACTACAGGCATGCGCCACCATGCCCGGCTAATTTTTTATATATATATCAGTTGGCCAATTAATTTCTTTCTATTTATAGTAGAGACGGGGTCTCGCTCTTGCTCAGGCTGGTTTTGAACTCCTGACCTTGAGCAATCCGCCCGCCTCGGCCTCCCAAGAGCTAGGATTACAGGCGTGAGCCACAGCGCCCGGCCTAAAGCACTTTTTTATAGGAATTTGTTTTTATCATATATCATTCTTAGCATATGTAAAAAAGAAGACATGTCAAATAAATTGTCTGAAGTATTCGTAAAATGCTTTCACATTCGGATATTAACTCTTCAGAAATACCTTTGACTCAGAGTAGTTGATGTTAGTGTATTTTTCAATAATTATCATCTGTACCACCAAGTAGTAGTACAGCATTTCTTGAAAATGTTCCTCTACTATCTCTGAAATTCTCTTCCAATAACAACCATTTCTATACACTTTGATGCTAACACTCCCTTAATCTTATGAGCCAATATCAATGGAAGGTTTTCAGATAACAACCTCAAATGACCCTTAAAAAGTTTGCCACCTTGGCCGGGCCCGGTGGCTCACGCCTGTAATCCTAGCACTCCGGGAGGCTGAGGCAGAAGGATCACTCAAGATTAGGAGTTTGAAACCAGCTTGAGCAAGAGCGAGACACCGTCTCTACTAAAAATAGAAAGAAATTAAATTATTGAAAAATAAGAAAAAAACTTTGCCACCTGATCATCTATACTACTAGGAAAATTAACCAAGTTGTTGCACACGTAGCCAATGGCAACTACATTATGACAACCTAGCAGTTTGGCTACAAGAGAGTAAAAGATGTCTTTAATAGTCATTATTTGTTTTTAAGATCAACATTCTTATTGAAATTTAGAAAAAGAGGATAAACTATTAAACTCCTTAAAACATCTACCCTTCCATTGTTAGATTTCTTAATCTTACTAAATAATAACTTATTTTTTCTATTATTCCTTATCAAGTGAATTACATTACCTTTTACCTATGATAGACCTAGTAGAAATGTTTTACCTTTAATCTTGTGTGCCTCAGTTTTTTCAAGTAAATTACACAATAAAAATGTTCATGTTATAAATACAGTGGGGTCACTGTTAATTCTTTGAAAACTGATTCTTGGCAGAAGGGAATGGTTTCAAGCATAAGTGGTTAATGTCATGTCACCCATTTTAAAAATTACAGTATCTTGTTGCTTTTCTCTCCAGATGACTACACTTTAAAAATCGACCTTACAGATTTTGAAAAAAATAGACGTTACGCACAATATAAAAATTTCAAAGTCGGAGATGAAAAGGTACTAGAATTCTCAAATAAGTAACACCACAAATGAACACTTAACATTTGCAATATAACCCTGAAGTCAGTGGAAAGAAAAATATACAATAGAGCTCATTCTTTTTTAAATTAAATAAGCATGTTATTAAAATAGTGACCACTGACAGTAGAACTTGCCTCGTTTCTTTTAGAATTCCTATGAGTTGAATATCGGGGAATATTCTGGAACAGCTGGAGACTCCCTTGCAGGGAAATTTCATCCTGAGGTGCAGTGGTGGGCGAGTCACCAAAGAATGAAATTCAGCACTTGGGACAGAGATCATGACAACTATGAAGGGAACTGCGCACAGGAAGATCAGTCCGGCTGGTGGTTTAACAGGTTTGACGTTTTATGAACATAGATATAATGGCATTGATGATATCTCACTAACGGGCATTAATCATAACATATGAGGTAATTCCGATCTTTATTTATGATACTAGTATTATTATGTAATCATCCTCATTAGAATTCTTCAGCAATGAAATATCTGTGAGGATTTGTTCATTGTGTACATTAGTGAAGTTGAAAAGCTATGTCACAAAACTAAATCGGATTACTGCTCTTACAAAGATCGTTTGCAAACTGAATTATGGATGAGTTAGAAATAGAACGCCCCAAATTGGCACAAAGAAATAGAGAGCATATATAGACATGAAAAATATTTGTGGCATCCTAATAACCGACTAGTTCTTCCCCCTCCTGCGTGACAGCCACAATATAGCCGTTGTTACTGCCGTGTTTTTTCTACATAGTACTACTTTGCAATTGCCATGGCTTTCGTTTAATTCATTCACTGAATCTGAGCCTCTCCCAATGCAGAAACTTCCTTTACAATATTCCTGAAACCTAATTCTACACTCTGACTGAATACTTTAATGCTATTTTATCAGCAAATTCATTCATTTTTTTTTTTTTTTTTTTGAGACAGAGTCTCGATTTGTTGCCCAGGCTAGAATGAGTGCCATGGCATCAGCCTAGCTCACAGCAACCTCAAACTCCTGGGCTCAAGCGATCCTTCTTGCCTCACGACTGCCCCGCTCCCAAGTGGCTGGGACTACAGGCATGCGCCACCATGCCCGGCTAATTTTTTCTATATATATTATTTGGCCAATTAATTTCTTTCTATTTATAGTAGAGACGGGGTCTCACTCTTGCTCAGGCTGGTTTCGAACTACTGACCTCGAGCAATCCGCCCGCCTCGGCCTCCCAGAGAGCTAGGATTACAGGCGTGAGCCACCGCGCCCGGCCAAATTCATTCATTTTTGATTGTACAATTTTTTTTCTTTTATGGACCTGAAACCTGCTCAATAGGTTTTTCCTCGGTAGCTATAGAGTAATTTAAGTCCTTTCTGGCCAAATTCTTCATGTCCTGGATGAGAAAGTATTTACCGTATTCCTCAATATTTTCTCTTCCCTAAGCCAAATATCCCTGATTCTTTTAATTATTCTTTACCTAAGCTGGTTTCCAGACAGCTCCACTTGTTGTAATCACAGATTTAAGAAAGCCATGGGCCGGGCGCGGTGGCTCACGCCTGTAAATCCTAGCAACTCTGGGAGGCGCCGAGGCGGGCGGATTGCTCAAGTTCAGGAGTTCGAAACCAGCCTGAGCAAGAGCGAGACCCCGTCTCTACTATAAATAGAAAGAAATTAATTGGCCAACTAATATATAGAGAAAAATTAGCTGGGCATGGTGTCGCATGCCTGTAGTCCCAGCTACTCGGGAGGCTGAGACAGGAGGATTGCCTGAGCCCAGGCAACATATGAGCTTTGAATGTCTTCTTTCCTCTTTAGAAGACAGGAAGCACCTCAAAATATTTGGACATTTAAATTTTCATTTATTTTCTTTACCCACCCATTAATCACTAGTAGCCATCTTGGTTATCAGATAGAAAAAACATGGTATGTATATGGAGTTCGGTACTATCCACAGTTTCAGGCATTCACTGGGGGTCTTGGGATGTATCCCCTGTTGATAAGGGGGGACTACTGTGGTTGAAAAACAGTAGTTATTTCTGGATTTTGCCTTTTTTTTAAAAAAAGTTTGAGTCTATTTAATACTCAGCCACTTATAAGGAAACTGGAGTGCTTGTAGCATTATGAAGGGAGAAACAAAGTTCTTTTTCCTGCTTCGCAAATCGAAAGAAATAATCGTCTTTTCCCTGGTGGTTTTCCTGTTCTTTTACAACTATTTGCTTCACCTTCTCCTCTTCCTCCTTTTCCTTCTCCTTGTTCCTCTGAGTTAGCATCATGCAAAACCTACTTGTGATTCATGAAGTCAACTACAAGCATCAATAATGTTTGATTTTGAACAGAATTCCATATGCAGAAACAATCACTAATATTGAGATCAAAACCATGTGCTATACCCAGTTGATTGGCTTGCATAGCACCTGAATGACAACTGCCATATACGTTAATGTGGGTAAATGAATGATTTACCTGCTTTTAAAGATATGGGCAGGGAGAATAAAGAAAGGCAATTCAGTGGCTGGAGCCACCCATTGAGCCACCCATAGCCTATCTTATCCTTGGAGTCAAAGGAGATGATAAGGCAGTGCAGTTGGAAAATCAGAAAAGCTGGAAAAAAGGTAGATTGTTCCAGAAACTTGGTGGTACTTCTAGCATGCCTATTACTGTAGTTTGACGCTAACATCTCTTTCTTCCTACTTACTCTTGTTTTTTTTTTTTTTCCTGTCCCATAGTTCTTCTAATTTACATGAAATGTTGGCACTTCATAATTATTACCCACCTATAATATATTATTTTGCCACATAGCAAAGCAATCACTGAGCGTTGATGTGTTCTCTGCTTTGTTGACGTAGCATCTCATGTGAGCGCGCATGGCTACTTCTTCACCAAGGGAGCCCCAGTTGTCCCCCAACCTAGTGTCAAATCCAGGCTGTTCTAGAAACAGAAGTTTACTGGAAAACTGGTTTCAGAATACCTAAGGTTTCCTATGTTGACCATAGAGTCAGTTTCCTAGTGGGATTTAAATCACAGACCAAATATGAAAGCGTGTGTAGCAAATGTCTCTAGACAGACAAATACATGCCAAAATATATATTCAGGCGGCTCAATTTACAGTATTTTCTTTCTTAATGTTGTTTTTCATGCTGTTTTAAAAACACACTAGGCTTTTGACACTTGCAGATTTAATATACATAGTTTCAATAAATTATATCCTTTAAAATTAGAAGGACTGCCAGAACAGTCAGTAGGAGGGAATCACTACTAAGCTGATAAGTGATCCAAGCCAGCCACTCAGCCTTTTTGGATAAATTATATGCTTCTTTGATTCCATAATTTGGGTTCTTTCCATAGATGTTCAGATGTGTCTTTTGTGCATGTTTTCCTTATATCCTAATTCTGACATCTTTTCATTAATCATATCAATAAATATACACTAATTTCATAACAACGCAATACAGAAAATTATCATGTACATATCAAGGACAAATTTATAGACTCCAAAAGAGGAAGAGGTACATTTTTAATTGATGATAATCTAACCAATCTATCTAGGTGGGTGCAATATACGTAAAAAATTAACTCAGCAGCTCAGACAAGCGATTATTGGTTGATGGCTGGGAAAACTTTAAATGGTGGTTTAGGTTTTATTTGCTTAGCCTTGAGATTTAAATAATTGAAATGCCAGCAACTTAAAGAAGGGGAGGAAGGGAGTTTGAATTATGAAAGCCAAGTCTTGGCAGCAGATTGGTGAACATGTAAGTGCATATTATCCAGCGAAGCTGGCAGTAGAGCACCTTGTCCATACCTTGCTTTGTTAGAACACACCTTAGCTCTTGCTAAGTAGGAAATTAACACTTAGGAGGCTGTAAGGTTGTAAATTACAAGAATGTGTTTTTTGTTTTTTCTTTTTTGTTTAAAGGCTATTAAGAAACAAAATGCTTATTTTTCAATGCTCTATAAGAGGGCCTAGGTTTTAGCCTCATATTTGTTATGGCAGTAAAAACCACTCACCAGTTTAAAATACCCAGAAATTTCTCAGGTTTTAGAAACTAATAAATATTTATTTGTCTGCAAAATGGCAGAATCCACAGTTTAAGAGTTTTGATTATTTGTTAGCAAAATAAAAGGGTTTCTGACTGGTACTTTTCTACTCTGATTGTTCTGTTTTCTTTCTTTTTTTCTTCCCACTAGATGTCACGCTGCAAACCTGAATGGTTTGTACTACGGTGGCCCCTACACCGCTACGACGGACAATGGGATCATCTGGTACACCTGGCATGGGTGGTGGTATTCTCTGAAGTCTGTGGTTATGAAAATTAGACCAAATGATTTTATTCCAAATACTGTTTAATTGTCTCTGTTGGGCCTTCATTTCTGCAATTCTTGTTGGTTTTGAATGACTTGAAAATAGCAATTCTGAACATGCCCATGTATAACAACAGCAATTGTTGTGTGTTCTACTACTACTTTTCATTCTTCTTACTTGCCTTTATTACTTAATGTACTTTAAGTATAGCAGATATGCAATATTCACCAAATAAATGTAGATTGTGTTAATATTTTATTGAATTCCTACATGCAAAGGGCTATGATAAGAGTTATGTTGGACAAAAACTAAAAAGCATAGAATATATATCATGACTTAGGATCTACAAGCACAAATGCATGATAAATTATGAATGCAATTGACAAAACACATGACAAAACTCAGCAAATAATGAATTGCCAAATCAACTGCATAGACTATAAATATTAGGAGTCAGGATTTGAACTCAGGTCTCAGACTACAGCGCTTAAGCACAACCCAGGATTTCAATTGCTATAAAACACTACTCCTATTTTTAGGGTGTTTATGTAGATTTTACACTTCTTTCCCAGGCCTCGACTTAATTCTTATGCCAGTCCTGTGAAGTATTACCATCTCTGTTTAACAGAGCTGACAATTTGTGGATCTGAGTTTTGGGAACTTCTCAAAATTACAAAATTATTAAGTAGGGGAATAAGTACCCAAATCTCAGTCTTCTGATGCTAAATCAAATGTTTGGCCCCCATCCTACAGCTTCTTCTGGGTAGAACTTGGATTGGTGCAGAGTGGAGAGAGAACTTTTCAACTAGGTGTATGTAGGGAGATTAATTGTAGGTAGAAGGAATTATATGAGTAAAGTACATAAAGCAGGAAAGTGCATGGAAATAGAAGAACGTTAGAGAAGCAGTGTAGTTGAGTGATCCTTAAATCCTTAAACCAAGGATTCTGCCGCTTAATAGCTGTGTGACCTTGGGGAGACTACTTAACTGCTCTGAGCCTCAGCTTCTCATCTATGAGATAAAGATTATGATAGCACCTGCCTGGTAGGGTTGCTTTGAGGAGTACACAAGGAAAGCACTTAGGATAATGCCTTTTACAAAGTAAGCATTCAGTAAGAACTAGGTGTTCTGAAGTAGGTATTAAGAGACAATAATGATAGATGCCTTTGAAATCGTGGATCATATAAAGGATATTATGGTTAGTTGTACTTTATCCTCTAAACCAGTGTTTTCCAAAGAGGCACTTCTCAAACTTTAATGTCATACAAATCATCTGAAGGTCTTGTTAAAATGTACATTCTGATTCTCGGGTGGGGCCTAAGATTCTGGTTTTCTAACAAGTTTCCACATGATGTAGCTGTTGCAGGTTTAAGAATCACACTTTGAAAAGCAAGGATGTGGAGAACCGAACTTGTACGAGTTAGAAGTTAGTACATAATACTAACTTATAGTTAGTATTATGTATATATAGTTAAGAGTTAGTACATACATAAAAGCACTCCTTGATCAAATACATTTAGATGATGTATTAAACAAAATTCAACAAATGTCTTCTTTTGAGAATTTCTCAGGTCCTTTAATATGCTAATGTGCATTGTGAAGTTCCAAGAGGGACAGACAGCATGCAGCATTTTTATACCTAGTTAAGAGTGGGTTCAGCTGTAAGGTATAAATCACCTGATTATAGAAGTCCAAACAAATAGGGATTTATTCATCTTACAGGAACAAGAACTCAGGAGGTAAGTGGTTGCTGTCCTAGGTTCAGTTCTCTTCAATGTGGAGGCTGATTTCTCTGCAGTTCACTTTGATCTTCCTTCAAATGTGCAAGTTGTCCACTGCAGTGTCTGTTTTGAGACCATGTTAAAAGCAGTAAAAAAGGTGGCAGGTTAACAGACTTCAGTTGATGTCTTATTGGCCCGAATGGAATCGCATGTTCACTCCATTTGGAAGTAAGATCAGCAAAGAGAAGGTTTAATTTTCCCATCTCTATAGAATGTGCAGGCAAAGGAGAAGTGCTTGCCGTGGTTCATTTGTTTCTTAATGTGGTCTTATGGGAACAATGTTCCATAGAACACACTTTGGGAAGCTATAAATGAGGGAACAGCAGTGACAATTTAAAATATGGGTATTACTTGCTCAAGTAGTAGCCTGAAGAACTCACCCAATTAGGAGATCAAAAGACAAGCTTTTAAAGGACAAAGAAATGATTCTATGGAGAAGTGGGAGGGGAGCTAAACGAGTATGGTGTTACCTAAATCTTAGCATAATAGTTTTCAATGCAGAAGGAATTATTTATTAATAAAAAATTTAAATGCCATAAAAGGGTAGGAGAGGATGTTATTTGTGTTTTTAAACCCAGTTCCATGGAATGGTAGGAAGTTAGAAGCCAGGAAACAAAAGCAATTAGAATAGATGGGTCGTTTGAAGAGTTTGGACATAAGATTGGGAAACTTAACTGGCCTTACCTGAAGCCAACATTATCAGGAAGACCCCAGTTGCAAATAAATATCTCTGAAATTTCACCATTAGGGAGTTATTTATTAGTCTTTATCACTTTTTGTGATGCAAAAATGCTTTTAATTTGTGTCAGCTGATTACACTTTAAGGTCAACAAACTCATGATGAGTGCCTTGAATGCTTTTGTTTTTTGATAGAGCAAAGTATAGAGAAAGTGCAAGAACGCTCGTTACATGAACAGAGAACACAGTGGATCGCAAACTCTGTGTTAGAGGCTGTATCCATCTCGTTCACAGTTTTATATACCACTTTCCACACAATGTCTGACACGTGACAGGATCCCAAGTGCTTGTTGACTGACAATGATTGAAGAAATAAATGAAGAAAGGAACAATATAATAATGAATGTAAAGCATACAGTCCTATAGGGGGTGCTACTCTATTTGATATCACAGAATTCACGGCCACTGGTTATTTCTATGATAATCAAAACCATTGGATTCTGTAAAATCAGGGTCTAAGAATAGTATCAAATATGAGCTCTCATTTACTTATTTTTTTTTCTTTTTCTTTCCTGTGACTGTTGAGTGAATTAATACTTTTTTTAAAAAACAGATATATGCTTTTGTTTTTTTGAAGATATATCCAGTCTAACAGTAAAAAAAAAAAATACTTATCAAACTCCTATTGTGTTACAAACGGCGCTAAGTATTGTAAATACAGCATGCATAAACATGGTTTGCCTTTGAGGAACTCACAAGCCTATATGGGAGATGTTTTTTATAAACACAGTTAATTTATGGAACAAAATACTGAGGCTAATTATAAGCTCAAGATATCACTACAAACAAGGAGTGCTATTAATCATGTGAAAATAGGTTTACCCTAAAGCTTATATTTTTTAAAAAAGGCTAATTATCCTTTCACCTTTCATTCATTCTTTTCTAAGGTATCCACAACAGATTTCCATATTATGAATTCTAACCCCATCAAATACATATTCCTTAACATGCGTGTGCACACGTGCACACACATATACCAGCTTGGTTTTGAGAAGTCCTAATGGCTGTGGTTTTGAATAAGATCATAAGCTTCTGATTTTGCATGCATGACTTGTCAGTACTCATTTTTTTTATTGCAGGTTTAAACACAACCCAGAAGACTCCTATACTGGGTATTCATTGTCCCAAAGGCCATGTTATTTATTTGCTCAGTACATGGCAATCATCAAACACTATAGAAAAAATTAGTATAATAGAAATAAAAACTAATATCAAAATAATTTTAGGTAGAGGTTTAATTATTGTTTATCCAGTTACTAAGCCCTAGAGACTATTGTATCTCTAAAAATGAGAATTGTTCTTATTATTACTTTTAGGTTTTCTTATTACTTTTTAATTTTTTACTATATATTTTTATTGTTACTTTTTAGTTTTTTAATAAAATAAAATGATCCAGCTCTGATATACTATTAAAAGATTTTTAGGTGCTGAAGATCAGAATTCATAGCCCAAAAAACAACTTGAACTTGGAGTGATCACTTCTCTGAAACTTAGTTTTCTCATCTGTCAAGTGTGGACATTAAAACTGGCTTGAGAAACTTGTAGGAATTAAATTGAGTAAGATGCAGTGAAAAAGCATCTAGCACTGTAGGTCATGTTGAATCTGGCTGGAGAGAGAACAATGAAATTGTAAGCAATAAAGTATGTATTTCATATGTTCATGAGCCCAAATATCTACCTTATCATCTGAATTCAAAACTTTCTTTTTTTTTTTTTCGAGACAGACTCACTCTGTTGCCCAGGTTAAAGTGCTGTGACGTCAGCCTAGCTCACAGCAACCTCAAACTCCTGGGCTCAAGCCTCCTGTCTCAGCCTCCCCCCCGAGTAGCTGGGACTACAGGCATGCGCCACCATGCCCAGCTAATTTTTTCTATGTACTTTTAGTTGGCCAATTAATTTCTTTCTATTTTTAGTATAGACGAGGTGTCACTCTTGCTCAGGCTGGTCTTGAACTCCTGACCTCAAGCGATCCTCCCGCCTCAGCCTCCCAGAGTGCTAGGATTACAGGTGTGAGCCACCGCACCCGGCCCAAAACTTTCAATATTAGCAGAAACTTCTGTAGAATAAAATAGAAGTAATGTGAACATCACATCAATTCTTATTTCAATACCTGTGTCTTCTTGACTTCTGATAGTTGGGGAACTGATGGTGTGTATGTGATATCACATACAGTGGCATGCAATTTGACTCTAGGAATTAATCAAGTTTGCTCCTCTAAAATTTTTTTCATTTTTTGAAGAGTTTCCTAAATCTAACATAACTGCCCTTGGGATACCAAATGCCTGCTCTTTAATAACTTATTTTTTTAAAAAACAGAGTTTATTTTCTATCTGAGAATAAAATATTCCTGTAGAAAAAAATTTAAATGCAGAGATGTTTAAAAAGCAGGGAGAAAAAGAATGCTATTCATCACTCAGAGCTAAATAAAGTTTGTTACCATTTGGGGATGATGTTTTGGTTTTGTTTTGCTTTGTTAATGAAAGTTGAGGAATCCCATTTAATGTAGAATTTAATTTTTCTTCCTTTACTTACTACAGTATTATGAGCTAACTATATCCTCAAGCTATTAAAATATCTTTTCATACACAATTTTTAAGTTTCTATAAAACTTCATCATATGGTTATTATTAATACCATGGTTTTTGACCATTCAAAAATGTTTTAATTGGTTTTTAAATATTCAGGCTATTTCCAATGGTTTGTTATAACAAATAATGCTGTGATGAATATATTTT